TTTCTGAAAAGTGTCAGTACGTCTTGTTAAAAGGGGCTTAAGAATGTGTGTTTATTTACGTGCAGTCTTATGTTTGCTTGTTTAGTGCTATTTGTGGATTTTCTGACTTTTTCTGAAAAGTGTCAGTACGTCTTGTTAAAAGGGGCTTAGGAATGTGTGTTTATTTACGTGCAGTCTTATGTTTGCTTGTTTAGTGCTATTTGTGAGTTGTAATTACCACTTAAGATTTATATTTAGTAACTAAAATAATTTTTTTAACTGTATACTGCACATTACACTAGACAAGAAAGGTTATACATAAAACCTTTTCACAGGATATGGGTGATAATAAAGAAAAAATTCTTAGATACTCCAAATATAGTTGAGGTTACAACTTTTATGCTTAGATTTAAGACATGTTTTAGCATTTTGATATTTGGTAGTTATATATATATATAAAACTTCTGAAGGAGTATGTTTGATTAATATTTCATATAAGACTAAAAAACTCGTCTAACTTTTCTTTATACTGTATCTTTGCTAACATTTAAGGAATGCTATGTTTGAAAAGCTATTTATTACTAAACACAAAATTATGAAACAAAAACCATGCTTAATTATCAGCCATTTTCAGTGGTTATAGCAAGATTTTATTCAAAAACACTCGCTGTTTTATTAAAGAATGTAAAATTTACAGCTTGTTCAGTTATGAGAGATGAAGTACAAAGAATTGTTTTACTATTTCAAGATTACAAATTTAGTCAGATTATGGTGACTCTTCAAGTTCTCAAACTATTAACTTTTGTCTTCAGATATCTTTTTTTGCTTTTGTATTATTTCCTTTAGTATTACTAAAATTAGAAAACTTCAGAAGTTTGGTTTAATGTCCACTATTTATTTTCTATGAAATATTCTAGCATAATGAATTGCCTCTTTTTTTTGCCAAACAAGAAAATGGAAAACATAATAAAATGTCTGTTTTTGATAGAACTGAGAAAAGAAGCAGAAGAGAAAGAAAAAGCTGCATTAGACAAGTATAAAGCTGAAGAAGAGGGTAGGTTTGGAATAAAAACTGTTGTTTGTGCTTGCAAAAAAAACTGAAGTGTGTCTGATAGTTTTCAGTTATAAAGATAAAAAATGTTTTTATTGCATTTAGTCTAAATACACAACATTTTGACAATATTATGTCAACCTCAGGTATGAGTAATTTATAGAGATTCATGAATATATATATACACAGTATGGAACAAAGAGGTCACATGACTGGAGATTGCTTCATGGTCTGATACAGGTATCTTGTTACCCCGGGTGTTGGGTTAGGGTGGGGGCTGTTTTGTTCCTTTATTCTGCATTTATTGATGTTTGGTTCTTTGTTTAAAATACAGTTTTGTGTAGATATACTATGGTTTTATGAGTTTCAGTGGTGGTAAACATGGGAGGTTTTTTTTATTATGTTCAGTGAATCTGGTTTCCAATTTTCTTCTGGTTTCTCCAACATAGAATTCTGGACAGTTATTGCATGCTATTTTATAAATGATGTTGGTATTGTGTGATTTTTATGTAATTTTTATTTAATTATGATTTAGTTTAGGGCTGGGTTTTTGGGTGGATTTGAAGTCAATGGGAATTTTATGTTTAATTGTAAATTTTCTCCAAATCGTAAACTGCAGTGTAATGTTGTGTTGTTGTTTGGTGTATTTATGTCAATTTTGTTTGTGAGTTGAGTTTTGAGGTTTTTGTTCTGGTGGTTGTATGGAAATTTTTCAACAATGGTTAGTGGAAACTTATTGGTGTGAATGAAGGAATGCTTTATAGAATTTATTTCTTCATCTGTGTAGTCAGTTGAGTAAAGTCAGAGCAGCACCTTTTGATGATTTTTGCATTTGTGTCATGAAGTTTGGAGATAGTTGCACGGTTCAATAGATTTAAGGTAGTAGACAAGTGAGGGAGCATACTGGAAAGAGATATGTAGAATAACAGAACAAATGTTTAGACTTGCACAACCTCGAGTAATTGCTGTGATAAATTTGAATTTGATGATGAGGAACCCACTTTTTGGAAATAAAAGTTTGGAGGTGGCTTGACTGGGTAATAACAGAAGAAATGTTTAAACTTGTGCAACTTCAAGTAATTGCTGTGATATATTTGAATTTGATGATAAGGAACCAACTTTTTGGAAATAAAAGTTTGGTGACGGCTTGCCTGGATAATGAAAAAACTTTATTGTACAGTTAATTCCCAACTTTGTCAAAGTCATGTTATCCAAAAACTTGAACTGGTTTACAGGTATTATCCAAAACATGCAACAAAAACTCCTAAACACTACCCTGAATATTAAATATCAAAAACTAAACTACATACTAAAATATAAACAAAAGTTAGACCACCAATTTGCCTGCTACCTCAAACCAGATGAGTACAACAATATATAATGGACCATCAACCAAAGCAATTCCTTATTAAGTCAAGAGAAGATATCTGTACACAGCAAAAAATTGGAACAACTGAGAACACCACAACAACATGAAAGATGATACAACAATGAAGCCCAGCCTAATCCTGTTATCTACAGATCAGATCGACCCTTAAACGACATTGAACTGCAACTTCTGAACAAAGGCCTCAACTTTGCCATCAGCCACAAGATAGTTTCTTGCCTAGAGTTAAAAACCAACCAAATGGATTTTTCCAGAAGACTGGTGATTCATTACACAGAAGAAAAGGCTACCTCCACTTTATACAGCAACCAACAACAAGAAGAAATCTGAAGCTTCGACCACCAGACTTTCGTGTCAGGTAATTACAACAAAATGTAGTTCCTGAAATTCCCAAAAAGTGTATCTTAAACATCTTTTTCAAAGAATTCTCTAACAAAACCAGTAATGTAGTTAACCAAACCCGTAATCTGAAAACTAATCTCACAAGCAACGAGATAAAATGCATCTAGAATCTGAAGAAAAAAAAAGATACCAACATTAAAATTTTAAAAACAACACAGAATACATTGACAAAATGAACAACATCTTTTCAGACAATAAAAAATTTAAACCCATCCCAAACAACCAATAAACACACGTGAAAAACAACTGAATAAAACCTTGTCACAAATATAGAAAGACAACTTGATTACTGAAGATCTTTATTTTTATCTAAGGAAAACTGACTCATGCACACCACAACTGTATGGCATTCCCAAACCACACAAACAGGACTGCCCTATATGACCTATACTATCCACTTATGACTCATTTAACTATAATCTTGGTAAATACATAGCCTAGGCCCTCACACCTTACAAGACTTCTGCAGATTCCTTTTTTAAAGATGCCTTTAATTTCAGAAACACATTAAATGTATGTAATGTACCGTAATGACCCCGATCCTTTGATTAATTTCCCCAATACACTTTTTGTTTGCCTCTTAGAATTCACAACAACAAAAACCAACTTAATTTTCAACTACAAAACTTTCTTCAAACAAATGGTTTAAGCATGGGCAACCCTGTTTCACCTGTTCTTGCCAATATATTTATGATCCAGATCGAAACACAAGCCGTGCAATCTGCACTTTATTCTCCACTATACTGATACAGATATGTCGACGACACTTTTGCTGGTTTGACTTCTACCAAACACATGCACAATTTCTTTGAATACATAAACTCCATTTACCCCAACATTAAATTCACCATTGAACAAGAAAATAACAAACAGCTATCCTTTCTTAACCTCGACTAACCATTGTCAAACATTTCTACACAACCACCAGAACAAAAACCTCAAACTCAACTCACAAAAAAATTGGCACTAAACAACAACACAACATTACACTGCAGTTTACCATTTATCCCTGACATCAGTTCAAAAATAATCAACACTTGGAGAAAACTTGCCATTAAATATAAAATTCCCATTGACTTCAAATTAACCCAAAAACTCAGCTCTAAAATAAAATTATAATTAGATAAAAATTACATAGAATCTCACAATACCAACGTCATTTACAAAATAACATGCAATAGCTATCCAGAATTCTACGTTGGAGAAACTGGAAGAAAATTGGAAACCAGGTACACCGAACATAATAAAAAAACCTTCCCATGTTTACCACCATTGAAACTCAAAAAACCACAGTATATACAAAACACTTTAATTTTAAACAAAGAACCTAACATCAATAAAGGCAAATTAAATGAAGCTATCTTAATTGAACAAAACAGCCCCACCTTAAACAACACCCCAGGTTACCAAGATACCTATACTAGACTGTGAAACAATCTCCGGTCATGTAACCTCTTTGTTCTATACTTTATATATGTATGTGTGTGTGTGTATATATATTTATTCATGTATCTCGGTATACTACTTGTATCTGAGGGTGACATAATATTGTTGAAACGTTGTACATTTACAATAAAGGTTTTTCATTACCCAGTCAAGCCATCTCCAAACTTTTATTTCTAAAAAATGTGTTCCTCGTCATTAAATTGCATTTATTTGTATTAATAAATTTAGTTTATTATTTTTAATTACATTTTTACATAGTAAGTACAATGTTTTATGGAATTAAATTAACACTTTTTTTAGGTAACCTATAACAATACATTGTTTTTATACAAAAGATTTCATTTTAAAATATGTATAACAAAGTATCAAGATAAAAAAGATGGATGTGTAACTATAAGTTTAAGAAATTTTGATTGTAGATTCATGGAGTACCTGTTTTTATATCTGGAGGAAATGAAAAGATCTGTTGTGCAATTATCATCAGTATTGCATGATTTATCTTCAAAATGTCTGAGTCATCTGTCAAAGTTGAAACTTTTAAAGTAAATATCTAATGAAGTAAGCAATTGCCTACGTAACAGTGTTTTTTATATCAGTGTCAAAATCTTTCTTTTAGTTGATTGAGAATTAATTAATAATGAATTTTAGCAATAAAAATAGAAAAAAACGACTTTACTTTGTAGATAATAATAAGAAAAAAACAATTTCAACCAACTTATATTTTCACATCAAACTGTTCTTGTACTACTAGTCATGATAAAACAGCAATGGCAAAACATTGGTTGAAATAAAATGTTTTTTGTTGTTTGGAGAATAAAGGTAATTTTTTTCTAACTTTATTGTCAAAATGTCTAAATCTAATATTCACTACAAATTTTGAAAAGGAAAAACATATTTCTATCAGCTGATTGATTGAATCCACTGTAGTGCTACAACAGCATACAAGAATCTATATTTTCCCATCAAACAGAACTAATAATGTCAATTAATGAAATCTCATGAAATACATTATCATTTAATATACTTTTGTAGAAAAAAAACGTCAAAAGGAAGAGTATGAAATGCTGCAACAGCAACAAGAAGAAAAAGCCAATGCTGAAGATGCTTTTAATAATCTAGATATGAATGAAGATGGGATGTAAGTACCACAGTCTAGTATCAGTACACCTTTTAATGAAATACATTGTTAATAAAAATATTTATTGAGAGAATCTTGCTGTTTGAAAAACTATATAAATTTGTAATTCACTATTGATTTTTAAACAGTGAATTTTGGAGCTTAGTACTCTGTGATGTACTTCTCTTTCTGATTTTTAAGGGTAGATTAAAAAAACTTTAGTTTTTTCTATGGTTATTAAAAAACTACCAACTGTAGACATATTCATTTTGGGAAATGTTATTCTCATGAATGATTGTATTTTTGTTTCAATCCATTTTTTAACAAAAAATTTTCATTTTTATCAAAATTGTATATCAGTTTTTGATAAAATTCATAATTCATTACTGTGAACAACACTTATTCCCTTTTTTTTATTGTTGGACTTAGGTAATATTACACAAATTGTGAGACTTTTACTATTATGAGATAATTTTATGCTGTTTTTAAAGTAAACAAAATTCTCTTTTAGCATTACTGTTAACGAACTCCAGTTATTTCGAAAATTTGATCAAAATGGTGATGGAGTGGTGTCTGAAGAAGAAGCAAAGGTTATTATTTAATTATTATTCAGTGTTTGTTATTGCTTAGTAGTCTGCCATACAGATTATGTAAATATTGAAGAATTGTGAAAATTAACTTAGAACCAGGCAATTTGTATTGTTTATCCTTTTGCAGTTAAATACACTTTAGGTGTTCACTCTTTCTGTATGGCTCAGTCAAAGTGGACATCACATCTTTTTTTGTAGTTTCATTCAAAATTCAATTAAACAACTTTATTATCAGTATGTCAGTAAACTTGGCATAAAAATATAGTTTTTAGGTCAAATTTTATATTATCTAAGTTTTAACTTCTTAATTTCAAAGTGAAGTATTTAAAAAAAATTCCTAATCTTCACGTCTCTATGTCATGTTATATGTTACTTAACATGACTTTCAGAGTGTCTAACCAAATAGGAACACAAACTATTCATAATTCCATGCAAATATATAAAATTCAATCTTTCTACCTTGATTTGCTGAGATATCAATAAATTTGTCAAACCCACCAGAGAAGCTCCTCCCATCTTTCCATAGCTTTTGAAGCAGTTAT